TGCCCCACGTCCCTGACACTTTGGGAACTCACCCTTCTGCTAAAACACAACCTTTTGGGGGGTTTGCACCCTGACACTGAGCTTGCCAGGAAAGGATGCTGGGTTAACTCTGCCTGTTAAAAAAACAACCTGGCACATGCTGGGCAAATAGATCTCCTAAAACCAGACTCCCAGCCCTACTAACTCCTTGTTGATGGTGGGGTTTTTTTGGTTCTCAATAGTGGAATCTCCCCAGTGCTGCTTCTGCTCACTCCCTGTGTGTCACACAGCAGACACTGTTCAGGCTGAAACAACACAACATCCCACAAAGTTTTCCCCCTTTTTAATATTCAGCTTCATTTAAATGTTGCATGCCCCTAAAACCTTCATAAGCAGCTTACTTTTAAAGCATAAACATGTCAGTGTTTAGCCACATAGGGTACTTTTCTGTCCTAAATCATCATCCATTTATCAGACTGATCTACATTACTAAATGCTGTTAAAACACATTATAAATACATTGCAATAATCCCCATGTAATAGCCACTGGCTTCCAGCACTGAATATACTGATATTTATATGAGCATTACACAATCAATGCCCCACAGTTCCCAGGTTGGGCTGTACTCAGTGTGGCAGCCTCCTGTTGTCATTACTCAATAAGTACAGACAAGAGAAAACAGCTCACTTTAGCAGACAGTCTTATTCCCAGCTCTCATAAAATGGCACTATTACAAAACAATCCAGCAAAATAATTCAACATTTAATTCATTAATGCAGAATAAGAGATGAGATTTGTTTTTCATCATCATTATTTATAACTTTTACAAGCATGCCCAGTGTTACACAAAAAGGGCAACGTATCCCAAGTGAGCTGCAGTCAGAACTTGCACAACACTCCCATAAAAACAAATCAAACAACTTAAAATATGGAAATGAAATCCTGATTTTCAGAGTAAATATTTATGGCTCCATAAAAAACATTTTTATAAATGCGACTGGAGAGAGAATTGTCCTTAATGATACATCTAATTTCAAGAGTTTTTTAACTGCTAAACTGTATTTAAAATATCCTTGAAACCCTTTATTAGGGGGCCAAGAGGGTTAATAATAAAAACTCAAAACCCAACTCCATGCTGGGGAAACTGGAGGCTATTTAACCAAGTTGGGCTCTTATATCATTGACAGAAGCACAGTTGGTACCAACTAACCAACATTATCCCTCTGAGGGAGGGAAACTCTGCTGGCTCCATTTTCAGATGGGCACAGCAACTGAGATTAGCTACCAGATGTGAATGAGGGATGGAAACCCATGTGCTTTCACAATCCTGCCCTCCTCCTCTGCACTCACTCACCTCTCACACAGCAGGACAGCTGCAAACCCCCGAGCCATGGGGTGAGACAGAGGGTGGAAACCTGCGGGACAACACGGGTGGAAGGATACCTGCATCCCAAACACTGGCTATGAGTTCCCAAAACCACCATGTCCATGGATACCCCAAAAGAAGAACTCTGTCTAACCCTCCTAAGCCCACAGCTGCATGACAAAGGACCTGCTCAGGAAGCCAGTTACCTGCAGGGAAAGGAACACATCCCTGGGAAAGGAACACATCCCTGGGAAAGTCAAGGCTCCAAGTAGCCAGGTGAGCTATTCACAGTTCTTGTCTCGAGCCAGGACTATCCTCCATACCTGCTTTACCAGCCAGAAAACCTCCTTTTGTCAGGGGACAGACTTTGCTGTTTTGCTGCTTCACAGAAGAAGAAAAGAAGACAGGCAAAAGCCTATTTTTTCTGGGGAAAGTGTGTTGAAAAACTTGTGGGGGCATTGAAAAAAATACCTACGGGGCAGGGGGGAGGATGCTCGAGTTTTCCGTCATTCTGGTCGGGTTTTTTCTGTCAAGTATGAAGAGAAATATGTGTCATGTTTTCCATATCAAAATTTGAAGTGCTTGTCCTCAGTTCTCGCCTGCAGTGCCAACGATCTCCTGGTAATATTTACACACCCAGGGAGTCAGAGGAACAGTGCATTTAAAGGGATTGCAGATACCATATGAAAAAAGATAATACAGATTAGTACATTTAAGAATATGGAGTTTTTTTAGTGGCTACCCTGCAAACATCTGGGATACTCATTTGGAGCTGTCCTTAAGGAAACGCCCCTCTCTGTGGTCTGAGAGCCTTACCAGCATGGCTCTTATAAACACACACTTAAGCACAGCTTAGGACTTACATGCTTTGCATAACACAGATTAATATCACAATTCAAGAAATACTGTGGTAGTGCATTGTGGTGCTTTATTAGTGTTAGACATGCAATATTTATTTAATGAACAAAAATTAAAATATTAAGATAACATTTTAATCAAATTAAAAAGGATCTGAACTTGCAATAATGAAACAAAAATAAAGTTTTTCATGCATTCTAAGTTTATAGTTCTCATAAGTGCATATAGTTATGATTCTGTACCATTTTTAAATGTAGACAAACTACCATTGATTGCACGAGACAAAATAAACCCTTCAGTTCTAAGTAATGTTCGTATCTTTCACAGACTTGCTGTATAACCTGGATCTTCAGCTTTTTATAGTACATTGTAATACAGGACATCTGGAAGCTTCTAAGATGAACAGGAATGGCTCCACCACTTGTAACATACAGTGGCTTCTTCAACACAGAAATTATAAAAGATACAGCAAATGCCCACCGTGCTTTAGGAGACAAACCTCCAAACCTTCATAAACACATTAAAGTGCTGCCTATTGCATATTAAGTACTTCCAGTGACTGTATCTACACTTTTAAGTTACAGATCCCTGAAAATAGGGTTTCCTACGGAAAGTGCTGACAGCCCCTTACATCCAGCACCCTCAGCACAGCAGCACTGATCCTTCACCAAGTCCCTCAGAGAGAGCAAGCTGGTCACCCTGCTTTAAACATCACCCCTGGAAAAGCCTCTGTCAAACCTACAGCAGCAATGGGGACAGAAAGAGCAAAAAGCATGAGCTCACTTTACACAGCTGATGTAGGACAACAATCTTTCTTAAAGCTGGAGGTGTAAATAACCCTCCAGTGCAGCAGTAAACATGTTAAGACAGCAGTTCTGCTCGTGGCAAGATGCACCCAGGAAAGGGCATCCTGGGCAGAAAGAAATGCAGGCCAGGAGCTAATGAGCATGATTTTCATTAGGTCCCCAAATCATGAAACCTTTCTAAATGCAAGGCAACATTTTTCACAGCTGGAAAACTACAAATAGTTCTTGAGACAGAGCCAACAGCAATAAATGCAGTTATGGATAATCTAGGGAGAATGCTACATTCATTAGTAGGTGGAAAAGCAAGCCAAACATAAAATACAGCAGCAAGAGGTAACATACATAAATATTAAACAACCTTCTTGAATGGCAAAAAGTTTAAATTTCTTGCTTACAAGAATAAAGTATGGCCTTCATATTTGTCCTTTAAAGTAACCCAAACACATGGCTATGAGCAGAGCTGTTTCAAAGGATAATTTCAAAGTATAGTGCATGCATGGATGAACTCCTATGCTAATTTTTGAGAGAAAATGTCAAAATAATATGGAGATGTTCAAAGTTTTCATTCCTACATTTTAAAGGGCAAGAAAAACTGACTATAAGCAGCAAGTTATTATAGTTTTAAAATGATGTGTAAGAAAGTTGACAATTTTATTCTATGGGAGAAACAGAACTTTCTTTGTTTTCAACACAGAAATTACTCTGTATGAAATGTTTTATTTTGAAAGCTGCATGATTCAAAAAACACATGTAGGGTGAAGATGCTTTTCAAAAATAATCTCAAAATATAGAAACTAAACAGAAAACGTGTATGTAATCTTTCAAGAATTGCTCCAAAAGCAGCCTATATCTTTACCTAAAAGAACTCCACAAAAATATTTTCATAGTTGTAAATGTCCTGTTCTGCCTCCCTAAATAACTTTACCTTTTCCTAAATTGCATTTGTCATTCTCCCCCCTTTCTGTTAGAAACAAAAGGTGCTTTTATTCAACATACAGATCAGATAAAGACTAGATAGTACATTCAAAGCTTCACTAAATTTCTTCACTAATGCACAAAAATTGATCTTTTCGCTACCTTTAATCTGCTTATCGTTCTTGGTATGCAAATATGTCAAATGATCTGCTTTTAGTCAATTATGCAGTTTGATATTCTACATTTACATTCTAAAAGAAGTGATTTCAGAGGTGCTAAATATAGTAGAGTTTCATTTTAATAATTATAAGTTGGCTTGCATGTGAAAAGTCATTAGAGCATATTCTCTAGTTAGTTTACTTGTTAATCCCCACTGGTGTGTCTCATTTAAGCAGTGCAGATACTAGAGATGGTCTCATACCAGTCAGCTGAAAATGACTGTGGAATTCCAAACAATTGCACAACACTTCCCCATCAACATGAGAAAACCACTGGCTTGGGCCAAGCATTTGAAAATGTTTGAGAATTTTTATGGAAATACTGAGTAACTGAAATACATCTTGGTGTAATTAGGAAATTAAAATCTAATTGAGTGCAAAACCTAACTCCCAACAGCAAACGTACCATAACCCAGCACAGAACCTTTGGCACTCGGAGTACATTACAACAAATTTACAGTCATTGAGATCCTAAGTGGGTCAAAAAGAACATTCACGTGGTTTATGAGGTACTGAGCTTGATAAATCCTCAGGCTGACAAAGGGGAAAGTGCCTGATGTGTGAGCAGGGCTGGGATCACTCCGGCTCTACCCAGGCCTGGGATCTGCACTAAGGGATCCCAACAGGCTGGGAACACTCAGGCTGCACAGATTGCAGGGGGCATGGGAGGTAGCTGCTAAATAAAAGAAGAAAATAAAGGAGAAAAAGCCCAAAATAGGTAAATGAAATCTGAGAACATTTGTATAAAGAAGCATTTTTCCCTAACAGGAATAATTCTGTGCTGCCACACAATACTAACAGCATCAAAGGCATTCAGATACAACTTTTTCACTTACAGTTATTCAAGATATTACCAATTTTTGCAGTTTTAAAAATGAAAGTATATTTAAGTCTTTTACAACAACAACAAAAAACTGGAATTTAATTTCAAGTTTTTTTGCCACCTCATCAACAACCATTTCATGGTGCTGTAAGAAAAAAAAAACAGATCAAGTAAAGAAAAAAAAAGGAAAAGACAGTTTTCTTAAACCCAAATCTAAAATATTCTCTGTACTTTTTTGTTAATATTATCTTACTGTTTCACAGCAACAGACAATCCAACTGAGATTCTTATTAAGGAAATTAAAATTAAAATCTCCTTCTGATAATATTTTGAGGATTCTTCTCCTGCAGTATTTCCCCATTACATGTACATCACTATATTTTGCCAATTCATTGAATAACAGATACCATTTTCATATGTCATTCCATAAACAATTATTAAATGATCAGGAAGATATTTACTACATTCTTCTTTCGTTTGCCTCAATGAAAACTGACTTTCAGAACTATTTACATGGATACAGATATTTTAATGAAGTCTAAGTACTCTATATGTGTTTAAGCAACATGCCCTATTTCTAAAGGCATATACTTCGTTGTCATAGGATTTAAAAAGTTAAGACATACATCATGTAAAACTCAACTTTACATTGAGTCAGTTCTACATTTTTTGAATTATCGTGTCTATTTTAGTCAGCCTCTCCATTTCTGCTACATTTTCATTGCAGTAGACTTTGACTGAACAAAAGTATTCATATTTTTATTCCATACTTCTCTCCAGTCCTACCTCTGACTCTATTAACACTGTTCAAAGGACTTCAACACATAAAAAGGCATGCAGTAACTTCATACAAAAAGATCCTCGAAACAACCTCATGTCATGAGCTCACCACCAAAGTTCACTCATTACACACAAAATTCAGCATTGAAGTGTAAAATAACTGGTTCCAGCATATGCCATTCCAGAAGTGGCACGGGTTCTTTTACACTGTTATAGAAAAAGCACATTGTACAGAATACAGCATTTACTCTGCAAAGATTGTGCATCACTGCTCTCCTCTAATATGTGTAGAACTGCACTCCACTGCAATAAACCACACTTAGCTTTAGTAGAATACCACTACACTGGCCTGAAAACAGTGGTCTTGATGGCATGCTGTAATAAAAGAATTGATACATTTGCCTAATACCAATAATCATTCCAGAAAACATCCGTAACAGCACAGGCTTCCCAGCTGGAACTGCCACATGGGGAACACCAAGCTATTATATGAACTGCATGGACATATTTAAGGTGTATTATTAACTCTATTTTAAGTATTTGGTACCTAAAGGCATTTTCAAAAACAAAAAAAAAGTTCCTCCTGTAATTTAACAGAGTATTACTTTTGGCAGTCCCTGCTAGTGTTTGGAGTAAAAAAAAAAAAAGAAAAACCCCCACGCCACTGTCCCTTCTCCCTGGAAGGCGATTCCTGGAATTTCCCAGGAGAAAAGGAATGAAGAGAAGTCAAACTCTTGAAGTGTGATTTCCTTCCACTCAAGTATCCAGCAGGAAGCACCACCCAGTCCCGCTGCCTCAGCTCTTGGAGAATTTCCCAGCTTTCCGAGAAGGTTCGTATGGCACTCGGAGGATGCTGGGGGTCTCCTCCATCACTCGCACCAGGAGATTGTCAATGTAGTCCTCGAGTTCCCGGATATGGGTGTCCTTCTTCTTCAGCTGCTCTTTGTGTTTCACCAGCTCCTGCAGAACCTCCTCGTAGGTGAGGTTCCGGTACCCAGCAGTGGCGTCGAAAGGGTTTCCTTCCTGCAGGGAAGGTTAGAAAAAAATCAGATTTTACCAAATAGTTCAGCAAATTGATGGGTTATTGCTTTTCATACGTTTCTCATGTGCAGCTCCTGACAGAAGCAACTCCTTTCAGACAACACACCTCCATTTCATAGATTCACAGAATCATAGAATCAGCTGGGTTGGAAGGGACCTCCGAGATCATCAAGTCCAACCCTTGATCCAACCCCGCTGTGGTTCCCAGCCCATGGCACTGATGCCACATCCAGTCTGTTCTTAAACACCTCCAGGGATGGAGAATCCACCACTGCCCTGGGAAGCCCTTTGCTGTAGATCTTTTCCCTGCCATACCCCCCTGGAGCAGACACCAGGGACAGGCTGCACACTTCAATGGATGATTCCCACACTGTCAGCTCAGAGAAAAATATTCTTCTCAGTGAGATGTACACACAGCTAATGACCATATGAGCAGCAGCCACAAGAATGGCAGGTCCATTTTGGGAAACCAACTCTGGTAACCTTTATTACTGAAGAACAAGAGAAGAGCCTTGAGACTTCAAGTCCTGCTGTAAGTTCCCTGAGTTCTCGCTTTGGGAGCACATCCCAGCAAAGCACTTACTCAGCTCGAAATGGCATCAGCCCTCATCTGCCTTTCATATTCTATTTTTAGTCATCAGTGGTTCTCCAGGCCTTGGCTTCTGAATCACATAATAAAACTTCCAATTTTAAATTTCAGGTGAAGGTAAAAGGCTGCATCTTGTTTTCACCCGAGCACTGAAACCAGAAATGTGTGCTTATAAAAGCCCTTGCTTGCTCCTTGCTTGCCATAAAGCAGGAGGGGCCCAGAATTAAGCAGCAGGGAACATTATTTCTGTAATGATTTCTGATGACTCAGTAAGTGCAGGTATTAGCAGAGATGGACAAGTTAGTCCTCTTAACAAAGGGCAACGTCATCCAAACCACTATAAACTTGATTGTCTTATTCTGTGTCAAGAATTAGCTGTGACCTTAAGTAACCAGACAATGAACAATTTTGAAATGTAGAACTGAAAAAAGATTGTGAGAGCTGGTTTACAGAAGTATTAGCACTGCTAGACATGCTAAGCAGCAAGTTTTGTCTCATCCAGAAATGGAAACATTTAGAATATATGGAACCTAAAAATCCCTGCACCTCTAACAGGGCAGAAGAATACGAGACTGTTTTATTTACAGTAGAAGCATTAAAAAATATAAAGCTTGCACAGCTAAGAAGCACAGTGCATAGTAAAGTCATATCCATTCCTTTTCCATGCTCCACTCCCTTTCCTTCCATCCAGCTCCATATTTGCACATTGGCACATGTCAAACCATCCAAACATGCAGATGGCCAAAGTTTTCAAATACACCCAATTAAAAGTGATGGTGCTCTGCAGATAGGCTGAGGTGCAACAGATCAGCCTCTCTCCACCAATTATATTCCAGCAGCAGTTCTCAAAAATATGCGTTTTTAAGGGTTTCTCCCTCCATTTCATTCATGTCATGTTTATGTACATGTATTCAGTATTTCAGACTTACCAAGTTACAGGACTGTAAGTAATCAGTAACTCTCACTTTATTAAAATTGTTAACTTGATGAAATTCATAAATTCGTTAGGAATTGACTTCCAACAACTATAGAAGAGAAAATCAGCTTGTGGCCATATTTTTAACAGATTTTCTTCTACAAGAAGGAAGCAGAATTTTCTCATGTTACTAAATTTTTGTACACATTGGGAAAGATATTAACACTTACATGTCTGAAATACAAAGTCTGCCCAAGTTTCTGATTTGGCAAAGGAGTAGGAATTAGGATGTAATGGTGTCTTTAATTATTCTATCAGGTTTACTTGAAAAGCTTGTGTAATACATATGTCTTTAAGATGTTGTGTCATATTCATGCTCCATGTACATCTTTTGGGGGGAATAACTTATCACATTAATTATGCAAGAAAATTCTATTGAAAGTACAGTAGTACTTAGAAATAAATAATTGTTCAAATTAAGAAGGTTTTAAACATTCAATTTGAGCCAATAGATGATATTTAAATGTATAAGGAACACCTATGTCCTTACAAAAAATCGATTTTAATGCAAAACATTAATCTTATAATGAATTATTGAGGAAAAAAAAGGATTCTAAAGAACAAGATATGCAAGCTATTGTCTCATCTACAAAGTGCTATTGGGGTACACACTGACAGGCAGAGGAAATGGCATGAGATAAAATGAAGGCCAGGCAATCTCTGATCATCTCCTCATTGTTCTAATGAGGAATTCTGCTCTGGGAATATCATCTAAGCTACTTTCACATCTTTTGTCCTACTTACTTCATCTTCCTTTCAGTTCTTAATTAGGCCTTAAAGAGCTCACGCTGCCCTTTCAACTGGCTACTGCTCCCATTTAAACACTGCCTTCACAGACAGGTGTTGGCATCAGAGTGGAAGACATACAAACATAATTACTAAATAATATGCACAAGGAAGAAATATAATAACTTGGTGAGGGCTATTACTGCAGAACCTAATAATAAATTACTTCAAACACCTTAGAAAGCAATCTTGAATATTTAAAAAAAAATATCAAATGGTTTCATTCAAAACCATGGTTGAGATATAATTTCTTCCCCACCTCATTTGTATTTCGTATTAAATGAGCGCCACCTCATAATCCTGCAACTGACATTTAGGAGAGCTGGTATTCCAAAGGAAAAATCATCAAGGATTTCTTTTATCACCTTTAAATCCTTTAAATAAAACAATTCACATCTTATTTCTTAAAAGAATTAAACTGATGCTTTTACCAGCAATAAATTACATGATTTGCAGTCGTACATTTGCAAGCACACAGAAACTGTAATTATGGTTACTTTACAGACAATGGCTGCTAAGTTAAATCAATTTTTTTGATGTTGCTTTTTGTCAGAGATTAAGTAACTGCCTGGTAGAATTCAGTTTACTATCTGATCAAAGGCAGCCTTCAAATACTCTGACATCTCCCACCAGTAACTCACATTATAAAAACTTGGGCATTTACAATAACATCAATTGTTATTACAAATCATTTACATAAACCAGCGAAAAACAAACAGTACAAAGCCATATTTGCTTGTGAACCTTGTTTTCTATATATTTTAAAGATTGAAAACAAACCCACTTACAAAGATTTCATCTATTCAGAGAACAAACCTTAGTAAGACCACATTTTCCTTCAAACAAAGACACTGCCTATGCTTTTTGTCTTCATACACAATTTATTCTTGGCACTTTGAGAATGAAGAGTATTTTGAATAATACCTTTAGTATTTCTATTTTTTAGTGTTTTCTGAGGGGCTGTTCATGTATTATGTGTATTATTAATCCTATCATATATCAGTTCATTATTTCCATTTTGATTTGCCATCTGCAGACTGTCCTCAAGTCTCTGATCAAAGTGACAGTAAATTCCTGTTTGGTCAATTAACACACCAGTGCCCAATGCAGAGTTCCTCACCTGACCATTACTTCTCTAGATTAGTCACCTAAAACACCCCCAAAGAAACAGTTTGGGTCTTGTTTTTTCTACTTTTTGTGCAAAGATCTAAATTTTTCCTTCCTCATCATCACATCACAGGTACACCGTGTATTGAGTGTAAAATTCTTCTTTATTCCCAGATTTACATTAAGCCTGTGATTTTCCAATTAGATTTTCTGGGAATGTCAAAAGAGAAAGAAAAAAAACCCCAACATTTCCTAATAGGAGGTTAAAAAAGAATATAAGGTTATACTGTGTCAAGCAGCAATTAGTTGGCATTTACTGATGTCTTTCCATAACATTCATAACTCACCGATTTTTTCCTGAGATCCTCAATGCCAGAAGGATTCATATGAAAACTGGGGGAAAAAAAAACAAAACAAACAAATATTAGTAGTGCACACTTATTTGACCAAAACATCTACTAGAAGACAGTACTGAATTAGGTATATAGCTGCAAAATATTTAATATGATTTATGTTCTTGATTTGTTGAACTCAGGAAGAGAAAATATTCAAAACAAAAGGAAATTTTAATATATTCCTTGTTCAAAATTTTTTGTATTTTTCAAATTCTTTTTGTCATAAAATCTGAGTAAATAATTAAGAAATGCAAGAAAGGCTATTAGGGATTAGGCTTCCCTGTCTCTCCTCTTATATCTAGACTCAGCTTAAGGTTCTAAGCAAAAAGTGATACTTTAAATGAAATATCCCAGAAACAGGTCCCTGGGATGAGACTGTTGAAGACCAACCACCAAACCCTGCAGACTAACATGTATTCCCAGCTTTCATGGCAGCTCCTAGAGGAGAAAGGTCCTGTGGAATTTCCAGTGAGATCACCAGCTTAAGTCAGAGCTGAAAATCAACCTTCTGTCAGCAACACCTAAAACTGAGTAAATAATCAATTCTTTTTATCCTGCATATCCAAAAAGCAAAGCTATTTCCCAGGGTTGTTGATCCTGATAAAAGCAGCCACTGTCTAAGTGTCAGGGTTAAGAAACTGCCCACTGGTCTCTCAGGCTGGTGTCATTATTAGCAAGTATCTTCAAAAATGAGTGTTGCTGTGTTCTGATGGACTTGCTGCAGCAAAAACATGCTCTGAAAGTGTGTTCAAAATCTGGATATGGCTCACAAATACTATTAACCTGGTAGCAACAGAGTAGACATCATTCTTTCAACTCACAGAATCTACTGTTTCATCAGACTGCATGGACTGGCTGTGAGGGTGATATTTATTGACTGAGAGTTACAAAAATTTGTCCAGACTTTTTTAAAATAAATTTTAAAGACAGGTTAAAGTATGGAACGTGAATTTTGTGACTGTTCATCACTCTTTGTTATCTCAATTTATAAGCCATGTATTTCATGGTGTAAAAGCGGAAGGGACAAAAATTTACAGACTGAAACAATGTAAAATAAAAGACTTGACTTTTTTTCTGTAAAGAATTTTTGTTCATATTATGAGTTTTTTGGGGTTTTTTTACATTTCTTTTATTCTGTACAATATTTTTCATTTCCAAAGCAGGCAGTCTGTTGCTCATACAGAAATCCCATGAACCATGTGCTGGGCTGAGGGATCAGACAGGGACTGGATTACAGGAACAGCCTCAACCAGAAATCAAGAGGTGTCTGACGAGTCAAGTTGTGGCTAATTCCCATTGTACCTGTTGGTCCCAGTGAGCCCAGCAGTGATCCCCAGCAGTCTGCCTCGTTTGCTGGAGCCCAGTCCTGACTGAGGGGCCTCTTTCCCGGGTATTGTCTCAGCCCCAAAGGCAGGACCCTCCCTCCCAGCCCTTCTTTCAGCCCTGCTCTGATGTGTCAAACCCGGGATGAACTCCCTCCATTGAGGGCTGCCTGTCCTGATCCCAGCACAAAGCCCTGGGTTGGCTGAACTGCAGTGAATTAGCCTGCTGAAAACCAAGAATGTCTCTATTTAACCAAGTGTGGCGTTCATTTGGGATATCTTTCTTTTGGGACTGTTTCCTCGTGTTAGACAAGATATACAATAATACGGCCTGACTGCTCAACTGAGTGACTTTCTGAAAGGTCAAAAAAGCAAGATCTTTCACTGCCTTGAATGACTTTATAGTTTCTGTGAAATAAGCCCTGGGACTGTTTTGCATAGCAGCAGCTTAAAAGGAAAGCATTGGTTCTGATTATGAAAAGTTACTGTTTGAAAATTACAAATATAAATCACTGGCAATATGGACTAATTTTTTTTTTTAAGCAGTAAAAAACCTGCAATCATTTCTGTAGCATTGTGGACATCACAACTGCAGTTACAAGAGAGCACATCTGCGTATTTTACATGAAGAAATTTGAACACGCTCGCGAAAAATGAAAAACTATTAAAATATCCCCCAATAAAACCCCCAAGCCCCACGAATACTCTTACTCATATTTTAAGGAGATATGTGGAAAATATAATGCTTCTCAAGGAAGAAACAGGTGCTGAGCCTGCCTAGAACATTTTTTTAAATCCAAGTGTCTGTTCAGTAAGGTGGGAGCTCGTTGGCCTCGCTGAGCCCTGCGGGGTTTCCTCCCTGCCCGAGGTGAGTGTGAGCAGATGCAGACTCCCACCTCTGCACCCATATTTCACTGTCCCCTCAGAAGAAATCACTGTAAAACTACGAATGCATTTAAGTTGGGGGAGTTGTCTGCTTGGTGCACTGAAATTAATGAGAGCGTTTATTTTTTAATTTAAATTTCATCACAATAATACACCCCTGAAGTTACCATTCTGACTCAATAACTGTCAATAATTACAGAAAACATGCCCCTAGGACTACAGCCCACATGCTGTACAACCATCACAAGCCTCCTTCAAGCAGCCATTATCTCAGCTTCCTAAGAGCATTCTGAAATCACTGATCTAAGCAATTATAAAAAATAACGTTGGTTTTTCCTGTGTTACGGTCCTAGTTCATAGTGATAGTACCAGTTATAGTCCCATTCCTCTTTTTTTCCCTAGGGGTTGATAAACTGGTGGGGAACTTCTGCTAGGGAAGAAGTTCATATGTTCACAGCTTGGGAAAAAGTATCTTTTTGTTTTTTGGGGTTTTTTTTGAGTGCAGCTTACTGTGAACAGGGATTGTAAAAATCCAGCATTGTGGGATTCTGTAATTATTTTTTCTCAATTATGCCCAAACTAAATTTGCTCAGTTTTCAAGTAAAATAACGTTTCTTTCCCAGGAAATGGCCTTTCTGCCAACTCACTCTGAGAACTACAGTCAGCCTGGCTTTCCCTGGCTCATCACCTGTAACCCTGGGTGTGACTCCAGGTGTTGTTACATCCAACACCTCCTCCCTGGACACACCTTCCAATCCACACAAACTGACTAAACTACTCCTCTTCCTGCTCCCTGAATAGAGATCATCCACCTTCTTGCTCCTGTAGCCTTCATCAAGGAATCAAGGAATTTTCCACTCTTCTACCCACCCAAACACAGCACTGAACTCCCCTCTCACCCCTGGAGAGTCTCACGTGCCCCAAGGGGATGGTCCAGGCCCCTGAACCCTTTTTAACACAATAAACTTTCATACACTTGGATCACCCTCGAGACAACCAGAAACTACTAAAAGGGATGTAAATCCCATGGGCACAGATTAAAAATCAGCTCCAGTGTGATCATGGAAGTGACAGTGCCCAAGCAAGACACCCAACTTCTACACTGGCCTTACCCCACTACAGGGAGAACAGACTTCTCCAGTCTAGCACAGCAATTAGTCCCATCTCACTCATCTGGGAAATCAATTAATTTCCTAGGCAGTTATTTTATAACACATATTTTTACCAGATTAAATCATAGCCATTATTTTATTGCTTTGGATGTAACTTTTTCTGTACATTTTTTCCCTGAATAGTAAAGTTTGTTTGAATTTCTAGGGTTTTATTAGCTTGGATGTCAATTTTAGCTCATCTGAGATGAGAAGCCTTTCCTATCACCGTGTTCCTGAGGGGTGAAAGCAATGAGAAATAAAAATAGTATAAGCTAATAATGGAGACAGACACACTGCAGTGCTGATTCTGCAGAGTGTTTTGGATTACTCTTTCATAACCATAGCAAGCATATTGTTTTATACTTTATTGCTATTTTCCCTATTTAAATTAGAAAATTCATTAGAATTACATGAAACTACTTTTTTTAGTAACACCTATTTTTAATGGTAGTTAAATACTTACAATGCCTGTTGATAATTTATGGTTTGTACAGAAACTGCAACCCAGTGGAGCTGAGTTTGGGATGTATCACAAGTTCAGGTTTATGAGTGCAGCTTGTAATTTTGTCTTTTGAAGTTTAATGGTAGTTAAAAATTCAAACATTAGGTCTAGTGGCTGCTTAAATATTTAGCTTCTGAATGCCTGGAGATTAAAACAATCTTTATGAAATCTTTCCTATAACTGATTCAAACATTTTAGTGCCTGAACCATTTACTCTGACAACATAATGAATGGGAATCAGACTCCTAAATTATGCTCCATGGAAAGTGTATTTTCTTAAGGAGCAAAAGCTTTTTACTTATCTTTTTCTATTCCTATTAGTTATGTGATCGTTGCACTGTATACTATTAGAAATTAAAATTAGGATATTTACATTAATCATCACTATTCAAAGTATTGAAATCTATGTTAATATTCTGTAAAATACCCATAATACCAATAAGCTCAGGTTTCAGGTTTTTTCCTTTAATATGGAATGTCTGCACACAGGTAATTAACAAAGCTCTACCATATTCATTTTCCATTAGAGTTGAAATATGTTCCTATTCCTACTTCTTGGTCTTTGGACTGATTCTTAACTACAGTGCTTATGCATTTTTCTTTGGATTCTCACAACATATATCAAAACTTTAAATTATTAGGATGCCATTTAAGTTATTACCAATGCACTAGAAAAAAAAAAAACCAAACCAAAAGAAACAAATAAAATCAGCTACAGTTAATGAAATTCAGAAACTTAGCCCTGCACAGAATATTGTTGGCCTGCTGTGCCTGGCACTGCAGAGCTCACTTTATATTCTGAGATGGAATGACTGTCATGTCTGGCAGCTAAGTAAGTACAGAATAAGCATATTACCACTTATTTTGCAATTAGATTCTGGGGAACATCACTTAACACACTGCACTCCATAAATTGTTCTGCTGTCAAGCCACATTCCATGGCCTTTTGGAGCTTGTGTCCAGAGGAACACAAGAAGAGTATCAGGTTTTGTTGCTATCACTCTGTTTTCTTAATATTACTATAAAGCCTGATGCCAAGAGTGAAGAAAACGGACCAAAAAACCTGAACTCTGCTTACTTTTCTTGCAAATCATTTGTTTTCAAGCTACATGTTCTTTCCATAGGCTCCTTTGGAAAT